CCAGCTTTCACGAGCCGCTAATAAGTTAGTGAGACAATAGTAACCTATTCTGAAACCGTGCAGTTTCTCCGAAAGGATCCGGTTTTTATAGAGATACTTAAACAGTTCCTTCCGAATAATCTTTTCTAAGATCTTAAAAACCACACTAGTTAGGCTAACGGGGCGGTAATTCTCAGGTTTGTGTTTCGTACCTATTTTGAAGACAGGACTTACTATGGCATTTTTCCAGTCCTTGGGTAAACGACCCTGCGTTACGGATAGGTTAAAGCATATACTTAAAGGGTTCGCAACGAAGTTAGATAATTCGTTCAGTAACCTAGGATGTAATTCATCGGGTTACGTGGATTTACCTATGTCAAGCTTGTGGTGGACCAAACAGATGTGAACACAAAAATATAAACAAAGTTATAAGAAATCAATAGTAATATTAATATATATAATTAATTGTTACAAATACAATAAAAATTGGGGACGTTACTTAAATTGATCAGACGTTGCGAGTTATGATTAGGTCCAGTAAAGTAAATCCACAATTATAAATGTTTGTTGATTCTGAACAGGTTGGTGAACTCTCTAATGATATAACACAACGTAGGATTTGATATATTCCGGTTACAGTCTATAAATGTAGATAGAATTTGATTTAGACTTCAGATAGCTCAATTACAAATGAAAGTAGAACGAGGAGTGTGTGAGAAGCATTGTATTTATTAGCCAACAGCGGTATATCACGCTATGTAGTATGTACAACGGAAAAGTGTTCAAGGTCGTTTACTAAAACAACAGTTACAGTCATTTAATGTTAAATATACATGCAGTGAAAGGTTGACAAAATAAATACAAATAACATTGAAAACTATTTACAAAATAAGTTTGTCGGGTCCATCGCCACATAGCTCCCCCCAGAGAGTCCGGAGGTAACACTGGTTATAATAGAAAAAATGTAAGGGTATGATATATACATGTATACGAAAATAATATTTACAGTTATAACCAACAAAAGTGTGGAGATGAGTATGACATGTAGTAGAGATGTAGCATAGCATAATAAGCACACACACAAAAAAAAAAGAAGACCCTGTCATTTGATGTCTTGGTTGGCTGACAATGATAATAATAATGTGCAGAAATGCCAAGGACCCAAAAAAAGAAAATTGAACTGTTTATGTTTGTGTACGATAAATGAATAACTAAACAGAGTTTACTCGTTTATTATTGTAACAAAAAACAATTTTTTTTAAAAAAAACTGACAAAACGAGTAACTGTGGAAAAATGTGATTAGTCATGTACACTGTGAAAAAAAAATAATTATAAATTTTGTTGGGAAAAAATCGGATGAATTTAATAGTATAGTACATCGATAATTGTTTGTTTCTATTTCTTTTTTATTCGGAGAAATGTACCTAGCGTTTGGGTTTTTTTACAGCTCTGCCTGAACGCGTTAAACAAGTAGGTTTGTTACTCGATTTTTCTTCCATGTCTGCTGTAGTGATGGTTGTTGGACGGGGTTGATTCAGTGAATTAGTATGTTCTTTGTCGTGCTGTGTTTCGTAGAAAGCAGGCTTATTCTATCGATAGCGATAGTCTCTTTCTTTCCACACTTGTTGATTATGAAGTGTTTGTTCGTTCTTTTAATTACTTGATATGGTCCCTCATAAGGTTGTTTCAATGGCTTTTTAACCGCATCAACTCGAACGAAGACGAACTTGCATGTTTCTAGGTTTATGTCGAGTCCATCTCCACAAGCTTATTTAGTAGACCAAAGACATCGATTTCTTTAATGGTCAGTGGGGGGATTTGTATGCGCTGATGGGAAGGGTGCTTCTATTGTGTATACATTGCTGAAGTAGTTTGAGAACACTTGAGCCTTACCAAAGTCGTCAGTTATTAGATTTCATTTTTCTCATCGAGCGATCAGCGACAAGAACACTGTACCCAAACATATGTTGCCAATCTTATGTTTGAACAAACAGGATTTTTGACAAAAAACATCATTCAGAAATCATCACAGTTTAGTTCGGCTACTGTCCTTATTACTGATGACTAATAGCTGATTGAATGTTTTATTGAGCATTGAAGCGCAATTCCTTACCAGCTTTTGAATATGTGAGCTACTTCGTAGGTTTGTACCATATGTTATTATTTCAGGAGTGTTGCGGTCAGTATTCATTTTTTAAACAGTAGGTAGCTGAAAATTCATACTGTCTTTTGACACTGTATTATACGGCTGTTGTGAATCAAGATATCTTAATAACGGACGATGTGTTAAAAAACCGATTGTGAACTTTTCAGAGTAGCCATTTTCATGGAAATTTAGAGGAGACCCTACTTGGAATTTTTCGAAAGCTTCGGGCTACTAAAACTGAGGTCACTTGCTTTTGGGTTGAGGTACTCCCTGGTATGGAGAAACGTTCCTATTTTCCTCTATAAATCCATAGGATTTCCGCAGTCAGAATTATATTTTCGCTAGCTCAACAATCATATGATAATTGTCCACCACTCCCTTTGGAAATTTTAAGGTTTATTCAATGGTGTTGGTTCGTACTCCTACCTACTCGATATTCAATTATTTGATTATTGACAAATATCCACGAATAAGTAGACAATCTTGAAAATTAGAGATATATTATGGTAACCGATAAGTTTCATCGATGGTTCAAAACTTTATTTTCCTAAATATTTCGGTTTATTACACCACAATTGTGTACCATGATAATCAGGATAATGAAGAAAGATTATTGACAATTTATATTTGTTTACACTGAATTACGTATTCAGACAACATGAAGAAGTTCAGACATCGCATTTATAGGGGGTAGTTATACAGCAACATTGGTTGATTTGTTTGTTACAATTTGTAGTAGTCATGGTATTCTGAAGAAAGTGCAAAATCATAATATGTGACTAAACAATATAAATTCGAAAATTACCAATATAATGTGCAAAAGTGACGCCAATTGTAAAGATGTGTAGTGTCAAGAGGCATACTAAATTTCTTAATTCATTTCATAGAACGTTGCCTCGATGAATGATGTACACAGTTAGACAAAAATGTGAACAGAGAACACTTTTGATAACAGAGTTCATTTGGCAAGCGTCTTTATAAATTTTTCAAATATTGCAAAAGCCAAAGATTTGTATGCAAGTCTATTTTTTTGTCAGTAATGTGTACATAATGTCAATTTTGTTTAGGGTTGTTGGAAAGGAAAAATAAACAATTGATGAATTTGGATAATGCAGCACACAGTTTATCAGAATTAATTTAGGCAGTAACAAAATATAGTGCAACAACTTCGAAGATAACTTGTTAAGAGGCGCATATATTAAAGAATAAAACGTTAACTAGATAGATTGGGAAATTTGTTCAGTTATTCGAGCACAAACATTGGTAAAAGGGGGCACCAAATACATATACACCACACAATAACAATGAAATTTCTAAAAAATTGGAGAATGAAGGGACAGTGCTCCAGCCCTCACACAAACTGAAAAATGAAATGTAGCGCATATATATTTGATGCCTTCTTGTAGCAATGTTTGTGTGTTTAAATAAATAAAAATCAATAAATGCAACTTAACAACGGTTTGCATGATATTTGGGTTTTGGTGAACTATGAACCTTGATTTTTCACTAATGATAAACTTCTTTGCTTCATAAGTTATGATAGTTACTAAGTGAAATCTCCCTTTTAACACAAAACCATTTACGTCGGTTTCAGTCAGTCCGCTACAACATAGGACTGGGCACATGTATGTATCAGTTCAAGTTAACACACCTCATTAACACAACAAGATGAAGACCAAGTTCTTAGTGGTTACTTCAATGGTATTAATATCTAAAAGAAAGATTGCATATAAGAATATAATACAGAAAGAATTAATTCGTAGAAAGAAAGGTATAAGGTAATTTTGATTTGATGGTTTAGGGGAAGACAAAGAGTGTATACACCTACACGGTTGTGATGGATTCTGAGTCATGTCACCCAGTCTCCAACCATTGGTTACGATAGTCACGCGTATCCCAACCAAGTAGTCTGCACCTACCAACATGGCCCGGATCAGGAGTTTTTGACCTCAAGAACTGATGCCACGTTTTGGTTTGGTCTCCCCAGTCAGCATTTTGTGTCGTGGTAATCGCTGTTCAGGCACACGTAATACATGACCCAACCACTTCAGTCGATAAAGATTCACGACCTCATCAACTGATTTACCACCATTCCCTAATACTCAACGTCTAACCTCACTATTACTTATTCGGTGATCCCACATGCTGGCAGTATTTCTAAAACATCTGTGGTCAAATACTAGTAGCTTAAGAATATCTTCTACTGTTAATGGCCGCATTCCACAGACGTAGCTGTTTCCTTCTATTATGAAGACAGTTTCTACCGTATTACAAATTCCATGATCTTGAAAATCATGCCTCCTGAGTTAAGTGCAAGGACATCTTGTTTTTATTTCGAATATTGTGATTGACTAGTTGGACCAGACGAAATCAACTCTAAACCCTATCAATTAATATCCCTAGTCAACCAAACTAGTGAGCTAGTTAATATCCATAATGACCTACAAAGATAACCTTCTATGGCTGGCTTTTCTTTTTTGCTTGAAATCATTCTTAACATTCCTCTCTTCTATGGAAACTGAAGGGCTGCTATCAATATGCCATTTACTTAAAAAAAAGTTTTTAAGCTGGTTGATGAGACTGAGACTTGTCATCTAATGAAGTAGTTAGGAATTTCACGTATTCTTAACCATTTCCGAGCTTAACATGTAGTGTTGGCTGGGATAGGGAAAAGTTCGTGTCATGTCTTGTGGTTTTGTGCCGTGTTAATGTATAACGTAATGATACCCCCAATTAGACAACAGTGATTCATCGACCGGACCAATGATGCATAAAGCCCATACGAGCAGTTTAGAGTCTTCACCAGTCCTACTTGTGTTCATAGCTAAAAATGATGAATATCAAATGCTAATTTTAGCATTTTTATTGTTTTAGATGACGGTGTATAACCTATATATATATGGAAAAAATGGTGATAACCTATTTTACCGTGAATGGACTCCAACAAAGCAAGGTGAATGTCCATCTGATAACGACTTGAAGTTGATGCGTGGCATGTTAATTGGTTTAAAAGGATTTTGTCAAAAAATTTCACCGTTGGACTACGAAATTAATCGTTTTTCTTACGTTACTAACACATATCGTCTTCATTTTTACGAAACCCCTACACTAATGAAAATTGTTTTTACCACTGACAACTCTTGTGCACCAATGAATGATGAACTTGAAGGGATATTTCAAATATATACAAAATACGTTTCACAAAACCCGTTAATTAAATCCGAAGGACCTATTAAAAGTCAGGTCTTTTCTGAAAAACTTGATCAATATGTTCAGAGTTTGCCTGTATTTAATAAATAAATAACTTTTTTCCAGTTGTTTCATTTTAGCTATTTTCAGTTTTTCTGTTTTCGTTAAATCAATGATTTACTTCTTACAGGTTGTAATAGTGTTGTGATTGTAAAAGAGGGTTTAGCCACACAATGTTTACAGCTGTACGTGCAAATCCATCAGATGGAGAAGTCATAGCAACTGACACATTAAATGCACCTGTTTCCACATGTATTACAAATGTTATCCCAAATTCTATCATATCAAGTGGAGTCGGCGAGGAGGATAACTATTTAACAGGTCATTTAATGGGTGAATACACTGGTCCAGTTGAATCTGTTTTACCACGAGAATTCAGGCAAAGACTTCATAAACATTTTGCTAGAATCGAACGTGAATTTGAACGAGAGTATAGAAGGTTATATAGCGAAAACTTAGCATGTATGTAAACCAGTTTTATCTTTAATTACACATGTAGTGTTCCATTTTTTTTTCATCAATTATTTTTTGAACATATTTCATAGTGTCCCAGAGATAACATGGAACGTTTTGATTATTAGTATTTAGAAGTGAGACAACCTATCATTTTAAAGCTCTGAATGGTTATCTAAGTTGATAATCTAGGTACTTTTTTGTTGAATTGACAAGTTTTTTACGGGAATGATGGATATTTATTAATAATCAAGTCAATTAATATCGTTACTTACGGGCGGTTGTGAAGAATGCAATTATTTGTTGGTCGAAATAATCATATTTGAACGTTTCTACAAAATAATCTTCAGAAACTAAGACCGTTACCAGATAGGTTTATTTCTGCAAAAAATAGACATTTATATAAATCATACCTTTTTAATCTTCAATATATCTAAGTGAATAACCTTTATAAAATTAATTATGTAAGAATTCCAATTTTTCTCACATACTATCTACACACATATTGAATTACTTCAGTTTATGTTGCTAATAATAGAAGTCGTTTGTTCTTATGCTGTATATCCCTTCCCATGAATTTTAGTTGCATAGTAATACAAAATAGATTTATAGGTTACATCCAATTCCTGATTTGTACTCGTACCAATTAAGATTCCTTAGTTTGTTCAAATATCTTTTGGATCACCAATCTTCTAGAGCTAATATGCAACTCCGGCTAGTATCATTATTATTATTTGAACACAAACATTGGTACAAGGGGGCACCAAATATATATACGACACACAAAACAATGAGAATGGGAAGAGAAAAAAAGAGGAAGGTAAGGAGCGCAAAAGAAAAAAAGAAGAACAATAACGACCAGATTGGTGTAAGGCAGTGTAATAATAATAATGGAGGGGACGGAAAGGTACAATCAGAAGAGATCTTTCAGCTAAGGAAGATGCAACTACTTTTCTATGAAGAAAGTGAAAGAATTTTACAGCAGGATCGCCACTAGCTTCTATTCTGAGCTATATCTGATAACGTCTCTAGCCACTGTGTTGCACCATCTCTTGGACCCCAGCCTGGTAGTCGTGAAGGACCAACAGAAGCCAGCCCTTTGCAGCTTTCTTTCATACCCCAACACCGTGTCATACACTGACCACCTCTCCGCTCTTTCCAACCAGTCTCAGCATCAGCAAATAATGCACGACGTGGAATTCTCTTGGACGACCTTCGTAGAACATGTTCAAGCCACCGAAGTCGATGTTTCAAGATGGTGGCACCAAGTGGATTATCGTCTCTGCTCCCGAACACACGATGCCAAACCTCTGCAATACTAAAATGGTGTTGCCACTGGATGTCAGCAATCCTTTGGAGACAACGATGATCGAACACAGAGGGTCGTCTAACGTCCTCAACTTGGAGAGGCCAGGTTTCACAAGCATAGAACAAAACTGCTCTCACCGACGCGTTGTAGATCCGACCTTTTACAGCCAGACTAACATCACGAAGGCGCCAAAGATGGGCCAGATTGGCATAAGCCGCTCTGGCTTTCACTATACGTGCATTGATTTCATCACTCACGCCACCACCAGCACTTATGCGGCTACCTAGATACACGAACTTCTCGTCTACTTCTATATGCTCAGCGGCTAGTAGATTGGTCAGCACAATAATCAAAAACCATCTTGTTAGATTAGGTATGGGTGTGAACCCTATTGCCATATTTTTTGTTTAGTGTTTGTATAATTGCTACTTTTCGTAACAACACTTAAAAGAAAAGGGTAAGAGTAGTCAATAAAGACACGAGGATGTCAAATCGGGCCTAAGTCAATAAACGGGAGATTATTAAAAGGGATTTATAGATTTAAAAAGTCGTTCCACATCGTTGTCGTTTATCGATCGCTGATTTCAGACTATCTGGACTTCGCCAATCAATGATAGCCTGTGTTTATCTCATATATCAGTTTGTCAACACAAGCTACTTTTATTCTACTCGAAGTTTAATCGCTATTTTAATCCAAGTTAGATAGTACCTTTACTTGCGTAAAACAGCTTGACCGATTTAGGCTGTTTAAAGATCAGCTAGCTTATCGATTTTTTTACTTTGTCATCCAGACTTAACCAAGATTTAATAGTACATTCCTTATTTCTGGTGAAAGCGTAGGAACTCGGGTCTTTCTCCATAATGAGTTAGATTTTTAAAGTAGCAATAGGAAAATAAGTTGGTAATAGTGCTATGGAGTAAGTCCTAACAAATATTTCAACATAAATGTTTGTAGGAATTGTTTGGCCAGTTTTGTGATTAGCTTAAAAACCAACAGATTGGTTTATTACTTTACCTTTTAAAATATTCAAATAATTTCATATTTCTTACACGTATTTTTATCTCATTTAAATTGAATTATTCTGAGTGTTGTAAACATTTGTAAAATGTTCATTAATTTTAAATTTTCATCAGATGTTTAAAAACTTAAGTAGCATTTAACTTTTTGTCGATTAAAACTTTTTTCTTTCTATTCAACAGTGAATATCTTGATGACTTATTTGTACTCTGTTTAATTTTACAGACTTAATTTATTCAGAATGAGATTAAAAGAGGAAAGTGATTTTCTTACAGTTTACTTCTTAACTTTTTAAAATCAATTTTGTTGTAGTATTCTACATTCGGTAGGATTTTTTTTTGAATTTCACATTTTACAATTTCATAACTAGAAACAATATTTATTCAAGTTTACTTGTTTAGTACAGATAAAAAAAGAAAGTTATCATCAAATCAGTTATTATTTTATTAGGATGAATCGGAATACATTTCTCATATATTAACTAATTTTAAATCTTGGCTTTAAAAAATTCTTTCTGTGTCTTCCATACGTAGTTTTTTGCCTTTATTATTTTTTCATTTTTGTTACAATATTAACATACACATATGTATACATAGAAACATATTTTATATAAATATTTAAATATACTTCTCAACTAATGGTATTTATTAAGGCTTACTTTTTTTTTCTGTACATTTTCTACTCTTATTTAGTAACTCAATATATTCAGGAGTTCATATTTTATTATGATTATAGCTGAATCGATTTCGATTAAAAATAATTCAGTTGGAACACATTTATTATGTAAATTTTATTTTAAATTTTTAAGTACAAGAACGTTTGGAGAAATTTGAAGATGGTGATCATTCAGAAACAATAACCTTGGTAAAAAAATGTAAGTTTTACATTTTGATAAAATCTCTATAGTTCCATTAGTGTCCAAGAGGATACTTTCTTGTACTATGCTGTGTTTATTTTTATATTTAAAGAAATCCATTGATGAAATAAGAGCCTTCGATTATTTGCATAAAGTAACGCTGACTAATAGACCCGTGATAGTAACATTTGACCCGATTTGAATCCGTTACTAAGATAAAAGTGATAAATACAACTAAAGAGTACCAAGAACTGTTCTATGTCGTCTGAGTCTTCACAAGCAAGAGTCGTGGTGTCAGTAACACTATGTATAGTTTTGGCGGCAAGCGTAATGTCTGAGGTTTTGTGTGGAACACTTTAGAAAACATTTTAGTTTTCACACCAGCGTCCACCAAACAATCCTGCGCTCTATGTTCGGCGAATACTGGCCAACATAAAATTAAACTTACAATGGGATTTCGAAGCACTAAATTTCTTACAAGATACGTGACCCGACTGCTCTGGTACGGCCGAGGGTGGAGGGAGTTAGCTCTTCCTCTCGAAATGCTCTCACATGGCCACGTGTATACAGTCACTGCCAGGGAAGTCCTACTCACCGCCTTCTCACGGCGGGGATGTTGTTTACGAAATTGTGAGGACGAAAAGGGAATGTCCGGCACTTTAACCGGGTTGATGGACACGGATGGTCCATCTAGGGGAACTGGGAAACCCTGATTCCAAACCAATGGTGCACATGGGCTGCAGTATCCTGAGGTAGCGAATGGCGTATGAACCTGTTGTTGGTCACCGGCTACCATGAGACTGCATCTCTTTATGTTGCTCCACTGTCTTGTGGATGAGACCTTTAGATCGAAGGCTCCGGATGTGGCCCCCTAAGAAAACCACCTGCATCGGCCTGAGCACCCGGGCAGTATCACAGCCCTCACACAAATCAAGTGACTTGTGTGACGCATATGTATTCGGTGCTTCTTTCTACCAATATTTGTGTTCAAATAAATAAATAAATAATATTACCCAGACAAACACCAAGTTTCGGGGTTGAGGGTTACATTTTGATCACGCAATAGATTAAATTTCTTAAAAATATACGGCAAACAGAGAGTGTCTTATCATTGTTAGGTAAAACTACCGTTTTTCAACGACCTTCAGAATATGTGTATGAGATGACCATCATGCTATAAATTTACTACTATTTGAGTTTAAAACATTTGTGTCCATATTTTGCATGTTGTACGGAAGGCGTTAAAACGTAATGGGGAAGCACAGATTGTTTTGTTCAGGTTGTGAATGCACTTGTGGTGTTGCACAGTTTTACTGTTACTGAACCTTGTCGTTCTGTAGTTAGTTGGGTTTCAATAAATTCCTATTTAAATGAAAGATTTTCTATATAAGTATTCAGAACGTATCTTTTATGCTTTGTTCTTTCATGTAATTTTTTAAAATGTTACATTTTTTCACTTATTAGTAAGTGGATTTCCTGTATATTAGTAATAAAAATAACCACCTATTGAAGGTGTTGTTGTCTATAAGCTGAGTGGACCGGTTTGTTAAGCTTTCATTGTTCTTCTGATCAACATTAGCACATACTTCAAAGAGAAATGAGCTATTAGAATTTCTCTACGACGGAATAACAGCTTGTTATGTTGACCTGAAAATTTGGTTACTTGTTATCCATAACTATATAATCTTTTCTTGTCTGTTTTCTCTAACTTTTTTATCTTCTGATCTGAAATATGACTTTATGGTTGTTGATAACTTTTCGTATTGGCTGATAGATTTGGCTAATTTCGATTTGTCTGCTGATTGATGCTTGGTTGGAGTGCCAAGCTTTCCAAAATCCCCTGTTTTTTTAATATTTCCTTTATCAAATACTTTGACGTTCTCTTGATCGAACTCATGTTCACAGTTATCAACATACATTGATGTTATAACGCTGCGCTTTCCACGTCTACACGGATGAGACGTTGATTTGCTTTAGACGAGTATTTACATTAGATTCCCTCTCAGTGTCTATTCTACAGGGCTTCAATACAACTCAGATCAAGAACACGTGATTAGCCTGACTAAAACGTAAATATATTTCCACGCCCAAAGCCGACAACAACCCGACACAATTCAACAACAATACAATAATAATAAGGGCAAGAGAATATGTAACTCATCTAGCACCTGTCAGACTATCTACAAGTCTGACTAAGCAAACAACCAATCATTATCGTCTTCGCCCACACGTCAGTTGATATCAGCGAAACTATGTTACATCGTTTAACAAACAACTGGTGTTCGTATAGACGTAAACGCAGAGGACAGCCACTTCGTCCTACATAATGTTTGTCACAGTTGTAGCAATTTATCTTGTATATGGTCTTTGGCTTGTCTCAGTTGGTCGTTATGTCCTTTGGTTTGTGTTATATCCCGACGAGAATAATAAATGGTGAATGTTGCGATCTACTTATAGACTAATACTAATATTGTTAAGTAACTAAACCACGTATATTCATATTCCTCTTATTATAAGCTTTATTTTGACCTGCAGACTATTATCATACAATTCACTATTCTTAAATTATGCCTAGTTTATTAATCACAGTTTCCCACAATCACAGTCACATTTTGGCTTGGTCTTGTGCAAATGTTACTTTCTATTTCTGGTGTGATGTGGTCTGTTTGGCTTGTATATAAACCGAGTATGTTTGAAATATATGGTTTATATCGCGGTGGCTGATATGTGCTCTGGATCTAACAGGCAGGGAGAAGGATCAATCGGGGCTCTAGGCCGTTCGTTCAGGTGTATGTGTCATTTGTTGGTCGTATAAGTCCGCGTATCTAAATTCGGCAATCATAACGCAGTAATCGTATAAGTTAAGGATATAACAGTTTGCATAAGATTGTTTGCAGCAATTTTATTTGCTTGTGGGCTACACTTATTCTTAGTGATCTTAATAATATGTTATTGGTGCCAGAGATGTTCTTCATGTAGTGTAAAACTATTCGTCCGCTGATCTTTGTTGTTGGTTGTATGTTAACCGTCGGTTCCATAAAGATTCTTTGGTGAAATTTTGTGGATAGCAATTTTTTCGAAATAAATCCATCAGGTATCTTCTTTCATTTCTTTACTTTTTATGGTAGTTAAGTAGGCTTTTTATTATGTCGGTTTGGGCAGCCGGCTAGTGTCATTAGACCTCATATTTCGAGTGTGGCTCACGCCAAGTACCTTGTAAGTTATTAGAGTAGTAAATTACTTAAGTGAATTGGCGTATCGTTAATTTAAAAATATATTAGATTGATGCCTAACCATGAGGCCATTGATTGTCAAACTAGGTGATATATTTGATTGAAATTTTGGAGAACAGCAAACTTTATCTTCCTCGACAATTCATGTACCATTTTTCCTTAATGACTGTAAATATGAATAGTTATACTGGAAAGTAGTTTCATCTCTGGTTGAGTATGCATTCCAGTCCTTTGTTTTGGTAACTTACGCTTTGAAATTTCATCCATTTGTTCTTTTACCCCGTTAGTCAGTATATAAAGTCTTCGTAAATATGTTGATCGACTGTCAAGTTACAAACACAGTAAGCTTTTGATAAACGTCTAACCTTGAATAAAATAGTAAAAAACTAAAATATTCATCAGCAATGTTCAGCTTGTTGCTCACAAGATCGTCGTAATTTATGGTGGTTTAGCATGCAAACATTTACACTATGGTAAAAATAGATAAAGGTTCAGTGAATATAAGTTCGAATTGCTAATTTCATCAAACCTTTTTTTAGCTATAAATCTTGTAAACCTATAGTTTTGTTTGTCGAAGATTCACTTTTATGTCAGAAGATTTATTCCCTTTTTCAAAGATTGTTTGTAGTTTCAGTCGTTAATTTTTAAAACTTCATGTTAATACTTTTGTCCACTTCTTACATAGTGGGGGCAAGTATGCTGTCACAGCGTATCAAACAACAATATAAACAATCCACATCTCGTCTAGTTTCAAGTCTTCGTCAATCTACTGGTCATTCTTCCAGTAATATAGGTCAAGGATGCACATATTCTGTTACCCAACCAGGAATAACAGCTACAACTTGTGTTGGTGTAACTTCAAATACTCTTTCTGTTGCCATCAATAGTTCGTTAAATTATTCAGGGAATATTGCTTTGCCTAGTGGTGGTAGCACAACTGGACATGGGACAGCCATTTTTGCTGGAAGCTTTTCAGGACACAATGGAAATTTCCAGTTGATGAATCGAGTGGCTGGACATCGAGATGGTATATGGGAGGTTACTTCATTCAGGAGGTTTATTGCGACTGCATCTGCTGACAATACTGCTCGTCTTTGGATTAACGATGGTCAATTAAAGTAATAAGATATAGTGATTATATTTAACCTTAAATACATCTATTGTATTCATTAATTATTTAATAATATTCCTATCATTGTTACTTCGCAATTTTGAATTTGTTTAGTATGGTATTGTTTATAGATGTATAGTGCATGGCACTATATGATTGGGTGAAGAACTGAGACTTTTCTACTTATGTCTATTTCATTATCAAATGCTTCGACAATACAAATCGGTCCCAAGTTTGAGTTTAGAAATACATTAGCCTGAATTTGGTCGAATATGATTCATGGGTTAGTCGAAAGAAATAACGTTCATTTTTAGAGTTATGCGCAAGTAAAAAATTGCGTAAACAAGCAGTTAAATGAATTAGAAATTTAAGTTTTCAAATGTAAATATTGACAAGTTGATGGATATCATTGATAAAGTTAATGTGGCATATAGTTTTGGTTGTAGGGCGAACATCACAATATGTCCTGAATCGTTTATTGTTTAAGTTACTTCTTATATTGGTGTATTTCAGTATAGGACTTCTCAGTAGTGGTCATTCACGACCTCACAACGAGGAATCAAACCTAAAACCTTCTACTTTGTGGACGAACCACGTAGCAGTACCTAATGATGCACAATTCTAGCTTCAATCAATCCATGATATTGCCCAACCATCTTTCATCGTTCTCGCTGGATATCTTTTTCACACTCGGAGTGGTTCTAGATTATCGTCTCGGTTACGGGGTCGTGAATGCACACTGTTGAGGAGCTCCATAGTAGAACGAAATGGTTGCACAGTGCTTTCATACTTTTACTAGTTATCGTAGGTTGATTCGTGATCTTAGTGAAATCCGATAACCTCCACAACCCTAAACTGACAATTCTGTTTTTCTTGATACATACAATCTGATATAATCAATTGCCAACTACAGAGACTGTATTTGATTTTAATATTATGTACGAATATCTAATCACTAAGTATAGATACTTAATAGAATGTTCTCCTTAGAGTTGTCAGTTGTATCGGTAACGTAAGGTCACTAGTGTTTCCGAATTTTATGTATAATTTTAGTATATGCACTCAGATATGTGAAAATATTTTACATTTATTCTATGGTGTCACTGATTTAATTATTCATTTAACATTCAGATGCTAGATATACATTGAAACGTCATTTCATGTGCTTTAATTTTTGCATATAGATAATATTCTTAACTTAATCATTATGACAAAAATCACCTCAGTTTTAGGTATTAACTTCCACTTTTTATTCGAACAACATTGCAGTAGGCTTTCATCATCATGACTCTGATAACTTTATATAAATCTATTCATCCTTTTCTTAAAAATATTTATGTGATTTGTTAACAAAATTTTTCTCTTCATTTTTTAAAAAATTATTTATTTTAGTTGTTTATTAGTCTATATGGGTCATTCAGGTTCAGTAAACTCTGTTCGATTTCGAAATAAAGACAGTTTAATGTTAACATCTAGTGGAGATGGAACTGCCCACCTTATTCGTTTGCCATTTGATTTAATAACTAAAGCTGCAACTTCACTTACAAGTGGAAATACATCTGGAGCTGCATTGGATGCCGTTGCCTCGGCTCTTGCTTCAGAAACTGCTGGAACGAGCCCTATGGGTTTGGGAATGAGTACAATTTCAGGTTAGTGATATTTTTATAGTTGGAATCTTTTTTACGCTAAACAATAACTAAATGATAATAAGAAATTCAGTGTTACTGTGTAATAGTTTTGTGGTGCTCTTGAGAGGCTTTGATTGTTTAAACAACTTGATGTCAACTGTAGACAGAAGTGGACTTCTTTCATCCCTTCACACATATCATACCAAGTACGTTTTCCTTGATAATCTTACTTATTGCTACATTTGGAGCGAAAGTTATTAATGATATTCTCAAACTAATTCAGCTCACAGATCGTTTAATCTACTTCACATATGCGGCTACTTAGATGAACTTAATAAATATTGTTTGGATATGTGTAGTACATATCCTAAATGTTTTATTTTGACAGTTATAACGTTATTGAAAGGTGGTCAGCCAATTCACGTAATTATCTGGCTATTTTACTTTTCATGATAAGTAACGAGATAGTTTTGCGTACTTGTATTATTCACACTTCAAATTTATTGTTCCTTCCAGCGTAATACTTTGACGTGTACAAATTCATTGCTACGATAAATTTTTGTAGGTTAAGGCTAAGATTTCCCGTATTTGAAGCACTGGTAATATAATTGAATTTTGAGCATGATTTTTGTAGTATGACTGACTTGAGAAAAAATAAAATATCCTAAATGTTCACAAGTCTTGGGGACTTGTGTATTTTTTGACTGTATCAACCAATCAAATTAGTCTTAAGACTTGAAACTACTGTTACCTTTATGAGTAGTTTGGAACGTTATGCTCCAAAAAGCTTCGAATCTTATCGTTAGAAGGCTCTAACATTGTAATCTACGTTCGTTTCTAGTTGGTAAGCTCAAATAATGTCTAGATTCTACCAACTAAACAGCTTTTAGCTATAGGCTTAATTTGTTCAGCTACTCAGTTTTTAAGATATTCAGTTTGCACATTTTAGATAATGTAATATCCTTTTATATCTATCTTTTGAAATGTAGGAACTGCTATCAAGTCAGGGATTGATCCGGTTGGTTTGTATGATTCAAATGAAACGATGAATTTATTAGTTGGTTATACAGAAGAAGGTAAATCTAATAACTGATCTGATTTTTATTTTATTTTTAACCTCATTCAAGTGTATTGCATAAAATTACTTTTTTCTTCGTTAATTGAATTTAAATATTTTTTGTTGTTTTGATCATTTAATGGTGAAGATCCCCCAGTTCGCATTGCCGCTATCCCACCTATCGCCGTTCGACATCCTCACGCAATATTTCAGTCTGCAAACTTATGTTTATCATCATCTAGTACAGTTTGGAACTCTACTGGTGCTTCAGGATGCAATGTTATCGACTCATCACCTTTATCTGCTGCTGATTTTGTTTACGGACGGGAACAGTTAGTAACAGCATCGTGGGATCGTCTAGGTAGAACATATGATCTTGCAACTGGACAAGAGCTAGAATCACTTACGGGACATGATGATCATTTGACAGATGTACGTTGTGAACCAGGTGGGTTTCCTGTTGTTGTCACGTCGTCAAGGGATTGTACATTTCGTTTGTGGGATTTTCGTCAACCAGGAATGCGGGTTCATGTTCAACAGGCTCATAGTCAGTAAGTTATCGTTCATATTTCAAATGCATACTCTGTTTCGTTGATCTAATTTACTTGACTTCATTTTTTGTGATGTTTTTTAAAATTTTCTTTATAAAACAACAGAACAGTTTCAACCACACAATTTTTGGCACCTGGTTCTCCTGAACGTCTCATAAGCGCTGGTGCTGATAGGTTTTGTCGTATTTGGGACTTGAGACAAAGCCGTGGTCCAGTTGTTAGCATTAGAACCGATGCAGCAATCAATCGCTTGGGTTTGTCTTGTTATGGATCAAGTGTATCATATCAGCCAACAGAAACAATTAATCCTACTCCAACTGTAATTGCATCGTCTTCCAGTGAAGCTCCATCACAAGCTGTTCAACATGGGTCTGTGTTAAGTACTTCAGTTCATAGTCCTTGTCCTTCCAGTTACCCCAAGTATATTGCTCTACCGCTGGCCAATCGAGGAATAAAGCTACTTGATGTAAATGGCAACAGAATTGGTCGATTAACTAGATCGTCACATGTGAGTTTCGATTATTTGCGTTTACGAAAGAGTAGTATTCCTTTTATTGATTAGCGTTTGAAATTTCCTTCTAAATTTTGTTACTATAGCTTTTTCAGCTAATTTCTTATGTTGTTATTCTTATTGTTTTCGCTGCAAAATTTCGAGGATATGAATCTTTTGAAAAGTCTCATCTTATGTAGTGCTTCCAATTAACGGCCTACAGTTATCATGTTTTTTTTAATTGATATCAGTTAAATTGTTTTAAATCCTATCCCTTTTTAATTAGTATGGAGTGAATGCAGTTAGTTGAAAGTAATTTTTCTTGTCAGCTGTCTTCAACATAGGACCTAACACTAATGTTAGTCGATCCAATTTGCTACACTTTAAATCAGTACAGCAAGAAGAAATCAAAAAGGTGAAAATCATAAGATCAGAAATACCATCGAAAACAGTTGAAATCTGGACATCGTGAAGCACAGTTTAAGAGAACCAGATCGATGAATAAAATATCAGGAATGAATTAACTCGAGATTTAGAGAAATGTAGCAGATGATTTTAGTTGAACCATTATGATTAACTTCGCCCCATGTTGCCTAACCAAAAAACTGTTAATTATGAGTACCATAGGTCTTAACCGAGAAATCTCCACTTATCGACATAGCCCAGATCGTCAGTTAGTGTCTTTATGTATTAATGCCATTTTTTGGTCTGGCCACGTTTAAACTCTTTCTAGCCTATTTCTGTCAGATAGTATTACATATTGGTCCAAGCAGTAGTCAAACATATGTAATTGTCTGGGGGAAATTTTCAGCAGATGTTCAATATTGTATGTTCTCTAGACTGAGGCTCTAAAAGACTTGTCTAAGTGTTAGTCTGACTCTAATAGTAGTTAGCATAGTATGAATTAATAGTGCTGAATGAATTCACAAATAGTTTTTTATGTCTAAGGAATTCAGTATATTATTTAAGGTTAACGGAATAGATTATGATAAATATTAATAGTCACTTTTTAAGCACTTTTGAAAATGAAAACAAGTAATTTCTGTAATGTCATGTTTAAAAATCAATACTTTTGGGATTTTTATTAAACTAACGAATGGTTAATATATATTCAAGGTTCACTATATTTGTTCAAGTTTGATCAATCAAATCAAATGATTAGTTATGTTGCCTAGATTATCATATATTCGTTGTATTGTACACATATTTTTATTTGAGTATTGTTTTAGTAATATTGTTAATATTTTGATAATTCTTTGTAAAACTAGCATTTTGAAATCTCAATTGACATATAATTTTACAAACATTCATTTATCCTAGTGGCTACAAAAATATTATATAATAAAAATGATATTTCGAACTTTGTTCTAATTATTATTATTTTGTGTTTAAAATATTTCTTGATGTACAGGGTCATTCTCGTATGGTAACTTGTGTTGCATGGGCAAATGAAGGTGTTCACAATCTCTTCTCAACTGGTTTTGACGGTCTCTTATTGGCTTGGCAAATTCACATTGGAAATGTTTAATATATAAATCTTTGAAATCTATTCTTTTACTGCAATAATTTGTTGACTTCTGTTTTATGGTGGTTTTTTATTTCATGACATGATATCATATGTGTATGGTTATACCTTTTACACTTTGTAAATACACTTTACACATATGTAAGATATCAACTACCTATCTACTCATGTTTTCATAATGACAATGACTAATTTTCGTTTTCTTTTCAAAGTAGTAATTTTCTCTTTATCTCATTTTCTTCACGTTACTGTGTCGTTATTAGTTGTCTAAAATATTTTCACTAGGAATGGTCAAGTCAATCTATTACTATTGTCTTCAATGTTTATTTGATTATTATTATCTCTACTATTCATTTTGTTGTTACTTGTCTGCAAACAGATTGACTTTATATTTATTACTTATAAAGGTGTAAATATGTATTTATGGAATGTTTTGTTAGTAAAACAGATTGTTTTCAATATAAACAGATTAGTTATACATAATTTTAATCTCACATTTTAAGGGAAGATAAAGAGTGTATACACCTACACCATTGTGATCAGTTTTGATGCAGGTCATTCAGAGTCTCCAACCATTGGTTACGATAATCACGCGGACCCCAACAAGGTAGTCTGCATGCACCAACATGGCTAAGACTAGAGGTTATTGACTTCAAGCACTGACGCCAGTTTTTGGTTTGGCCGCCCCTAATTTTCTTCCAACCATCTCCAACACTAGTCAGCATTGCGCGTCGTGGTAATCGGTGTTCAGGCATATGTAACACGTGACCCAACCACCTCAGTCGATGAAGATTCACAAACTCATCAACTGATTTACCACCATTCGATAATACTCTACGTCTAACCTCACTATTACTTACTCGGTGATCCCAGCAGATGCCGGCAGTATTTATAAGACATCTGTGGTCAAATACTAGTAGCTAAGAATATCTTCAACCCGTAAAGTAGAACAGGATGAACTGCCGCACAGTATACTCGTCCCTTAATTGAATCCAGGTTTACTTCGATAAAATCTAACTGTTCGTTTTTGTTGATAGTTGTGCAAAATTGTTCAGTTTCATTTCCGATTCATAAAGTGTTCCTAATATTTTCCTTTTGAGACTTTCTTACATGCCAGTAGGTTTTTATTCTTCAGTCATGGACGTTAGCTCTGAAATACAATTAATTCTAAGGGGCTGTAGCATGTCGATATTGGTTAAAATTGATAAAACTATTCTAATTAGAAACAACGTTTGTTCTAAGACATACTTTTTTGGAGTTAGGAGCTGTACTGAGACTCTGTTGTAAGAAGTATGTAGTTTGGCAAAGCCAATTTATATACTAAATCATAAGAAAATAATCTTAATTGGTTTGTAAATTGGACCATGTTTTTTAGAGTAATATAAAATTAGTGTAAAACATGACAATAGGCAGTGGGAACATATAATAGCTTCTGGAAGTTAAAATGTATTTACTTAATACATATGCATAACATTCAATCATCTATTTGCATCTTTCGGTGTGTTCTGAAATCTGAACCATCTCATCTGGCCCCCAAGTGTTCTCCCAACTTCGTGCTTCCGATTCACTGAAACTCTTCACTCTGTTTGACAACTGTTGCAACTTCGAAGCCAAGTTGTGCTACACACTACTCACTAACAATCTTGCGAGTACAGGAGAACTGTTTGTTGGCTTGTTGCTCTTCTCTTGATTAGATCAAGTTAATTCAACAGTTAATCCTCACCGATATTTTTGTTTGCGCGGATAAAGGTATCATACAATTGAAAATGATCCACTCCCAATGTTTATGATTTAGGGACCAACGGGAATTTAGCTAATTTGTGAAGCCGTAACAAAATTTCGTACTAATTGCTTTATGTCATTCGCAAATTTTTGTTTTATTATACTAAGTGTCAAATGAATTTGAAGCATAGTTAAAAGAATACTTAGTTGATCTATCATTGAGATGATGAAGACCCGTGTTCTAGGAATTTCAATAGAAAATCCTGAATGTAATAATGTAATTTAGGTCAAACTACATTTTGGAAATTTCTTCGAGAAACGTCAGCACACTTTGATTTGCATCAATCAGTTTCGTATTATCGTGAGATAACTGTCAAACTATAGTTAGTGAATACCAAATAAAACTAATTTACTAACGAAACTTCAAAAATTACCGACGTTTCTTTGGTTCAATTCATTTAGTGGTTGGTACAAAATAAAACACATTTTACTAAATTTTCTCAGCAGTAAGAACTGCTTATTAATCCGCATGAGTTATTTTGTACTAAAACTCCATGTTTTAGTTATTTTTCTTGTGTTTATTTGCGTCAGTCGGGAACTATGCATATGTTTATTTATCGTATATGAATTCTATTTTACCCGAAAAAATCGGAATTTTTATATACGCATACGTTGGTTATAAAGATATTCACATTAAACTTATGAAGCATGTTAGACTATGACGAGCTTACATTTATTCAAGTTTGGAAATGGACTTAAAAATTTGTTTTCAATATTGTGAGCTTTTGTGATATAAGCTAAATGTTCTACAGTCAAAGCAAGTACAGTTTTAGGTTCAGATATGATAAAGTATTATGTCGATTTGACTATTTTACACATTGATCTTAAATCTATTAAAATTTTTGTCAATGAAACTAGGCAGGGTACGTTCGATCAATGATCTTATAAATAATTTTGCCGTTTGTAATTCTAAATCCATACATATTAATCTTGACTTGGAATAGGATCGTCTGGATTTGGGAAGTTTTATTACATTTCCTCAGAATGAAATAGAACCTGCTGTTATACATCAATAAATTTTTTTAATCAAAACCAAATTAATTGCCAGTTTTTTTTCATCAGGAACAAATTGACCCTATCTTGAACAATTTTTTCAACTTTGTTAAAATGAATTATGTCGGAAGAAAGTTTAACTCATATTGTTAACTTTCTTGAAGATCATTGAGATTTTACGCCTTCCATGTTATCCGTCTGAGTTTTGACGAAAGAAGAATAAGAATATATAGGAAAGCGCAGAAATACAATGATTTTCAAGAATGTTCACCTTAATTTTGTAGACATCTTTTAGGATGTATAAAAGTGTATTCCCAGATAAATATTTTGTCGATAGGTGAAAACTGTATTTGCCATATATATATATAACCTGTTTTTAATGATATTGTATAATTGTTCATTTGGTGTTCTGAGTACAGGCACATGCGGAAGTGGTCTATTTCACTTCAACCACGCGAACATTTGGTCATCAATAATCTTACTATTTATCTATTTATTATCGTACATTAACACAGACTGATTATTTAACGTCCTGCTGATGAAAAAAACCAGGCTCACTGATTATTAAATGCTTCTACCATAAAGTTGACTATGATATTTAACTTGATGGTATCTTATCTGATTAATGTTTGATTTTAGAAATCAGTAAATGAATATAGTCACAAAACCCTGTTTCAGATATTTCCAGACAGATGATTTTGTCGATCGGCTGAATTTCTTTCTCTAACTCATATTAAGATTCTTATGTTATATACATTAGTTTGATCCATAGTCTATATATATATCATTTTACTGGAAATTATCATCAACATGAAATGTAGCAATTCATTGTCAGTCATGTTTAATAATTTATGCGTAAAGTGTTACGTGATGACAAAACGTAGTGTGCTTGTGATTAAATTGTTATCATGGGGATTATATATGTATCAATCCGCAGTTGTTAATAAATTGAGTAATTTCGGAAGTGCCATAATCCTTTTCACACATTTCAACCACTTGACAACACACAACTACTTGTTGCATTCAGTAGTATAATATCCTCAAAAATTTTCCAAATATATATGTATAATTTACAAAGGAAAATAAGAATATTTTTACTGCTTATAAGTGATTATTTTGCTTGAGGCATTAAGTAACAAATTAGTTAATTCAATGGCATGATTATATAATATGTAGTGCGAACAATCCTTTATTGTAATCTTTAATGATAAAATTTCTTCAAACAACTTATTAAAGAAAGCTGATTGAAAACTGTGAACAGATGAGATAACTTTACAGTTTGGTACTGAATATTCTGGGTTGTATTTTTTTATTTAAAATTTGATGATTCCAAATCAAAATGAATTATATCAATGTTATATTCTTCTGTCTTTTAGTGATCAAAAATAAATATTCCTAGCGAATAACCGGAGGTAATTTTGCAAATCTCTCTTAAATAGTCAGTAAATTTCTTTAGCAAGTACAGATACTCTCTGAGCCGCTCTTTTTTGTGTCTATTTAGGTTAGCGATGCTAATAAACAGACACCAAGATGAAGTAGGTACAACGAAATCATAATTCAATGTTATGACAATTGCTTGGTACATAAGTCAATCAGTGATATGTCAAGTAATTAATGCACGTGATTAACCTAAATATGACTTCAAGTTTTAAGGAATAAAAACTACCATTAGTGGCCTAATTTTTCAAAGGATATATATATATATATATATATATATATATATATATATATACCGATTCGGTCAACTAATAAAGAGTCTCCTTTTAACTAATGTAGTCGGTTACGCTTGTCCATACATAGAAAAGTTGTGTAGATTTCAGTATCGAACAGTACACTTAGAAAAACTGGCCATTACCATTACCACACTTCAATTACTTGATAAAATGTTGATTTTACATGATTAGTTTTCATCATATAAATGTTATTCTAAATACAAAATAGGTAAATATCTAATGTTTAAATTTTCAATCAATAATTCAATTGTCAACTTAGAACTGTGACTTAAGAATCTTCATGACATCTCAACAATGTACCATTGAGTTAATCCGAAAAGAAAAAAAATAATTACCATGTTATCAAATATTTCATAGTTATATGTGAATGAAAACTGTCATTAAATTAATTATATCATAGATGATTGTTATCAATATTATTAAACCGTATTATTATTATTATTATTATTATTATTATTATTATTATTATTCTAATTATGTACCATAATCATTATC